AGGAGCTCTGGTAGCGTAGTGGTTACGAATCGGGCTGCGAACCTTAAGGTCAGTGGTTCGAAACTACCAGCCACTCCATGGGAGAAGGATGAGGCTTTCTACTCCCATAAAGATTTACACCCTCGGAAACCCTGTACAGGCTCGCTATGGGTCGGAACCGACTCGATGGCACTTAACAACAACAACAACCGCTTTACTAAAGGAATGCAATAACGTTACAGATACTGTGCTTGAAGTGTGACTACAGGGCTAGGGGGTAGAATTGCCCAGTTCTTCTTTTGGGAGGGTGTGAGGAAAGTAAAGATCCCCAATTGCACAGTGGTTAAACACTCAGCTGCTAATCCTAATGTTGATGGTTCAGACCCACCAGCAGCTCTGCTGCCGAGAGGGCAGCTGTATCCTGTCCTATAGCTTTGCTGTGAGTCGGGTTTGATTAGACAGCAACAGATTTGATTTTTGGTTTGATGAGGAAAGTTCTCAGGCTGAGGTCAGAGAGGCAGCGGGGTATTCCAATCAGTAGGAGCAGCCCAGACAAAGGTAAGAAGTTGGAAGGACAGCTGGTATGCTGGGAAGCTTCAAGGTGTCCATCTAACCCAGGAAGTGTTCGAAGTAAGGCATAGGGAGTCCTAACCTTGGAGAAGTAGGGTTGTGGAGACCCTTGTACTCCATACTTAGGACTTTGAACTTCATCCTGTGGCACACTGGGGAGCCAGTGAAGGTTTTTAACAAAAAGAGCAATGGAAATAGGTTTGTTTCATAATGATTTTTGTGACTTAGTTTAAAAAGATAGATTGGAGAGGCCTGATGTCAGAAGAGACTCTGAAACGTGTCCTCCAGCACAGAGATGGTAAAGCAAATGGAAGAAAAGGGAGGTAAAAGAGCTAAATAGAAAATTTCAAAGAGCAGCCTGAGAAGACAAAGTCAAATATGATAACACAATGTGTAAAGACCTAGAATTAGAAACCCAAAAGGGAAGAACACGCTCAGCATTTTTCAAGCTGAGGAAACTGAAGAAGAAATTCAAGCCTTGACTTTGCACCATTGAAGGATTTTATGGGCAAAATATTGAATGATGCAGAAAGCACTAAAAGAAGATGGAAAGAATACACAGAGTCACTGTACCAAAAAGGGAATGGTCAATGTTCAACCATTTCAAGAGGTTATTGTTGTTACTGTTGTTAGGTGCCATCGAGTCGATATGGCAGAGTCAGTGATACTAAAGGAAGAATTCATGATGCATTGAAGGCATTGGCAAAAACCAAGGCTCTGGGAATTGATGGAATACAAATTGAAATCTTGCATCAAATTTACAAAGCACTGGACGCATTCACTCTTCTGTGCCTACAAATTTGGAAGACAATTACCTGGCCAGCTGACTTGAAGAGATTCAGATTTGTGCTCATTCCAAAAAGAGGTGACCCATCAGACAATATGAAAGTCATCAGACAATAATAGCATTAGTATTTCATACAAGTAAATTTTTGCTAAAGATAATCCCAAAAGGCTGTAAATGTACATTGACAGAGAACTGCTAGAGGTTAAAGCCAGATTCAGACGAGAACGTGGAATGAGAGAGATCATTGCTGATGTCAGATGGCTCTTGGCTGAAAGCAGAAATACCTGTGCTTTATTGCCTATGAAGAGGCTTTCGATTGTGTGGATCATGCCAAGTTATGAACAGCATTATGGAGAATGAGTATTCCAGAACAATTCATTGTACTTATGAAGAACCTGTGCCTAGATGAAGAGGCAGTTATCCTAATAGAACAGGGGAACACTAAAT